TAACCTCTATGCTTTTTATTTAAAGCCAGTATACATCAATCCAGGATGTGGAAGTGCTCTCTTATATTAGTGGCTGTGCTTTTAACTTTCACCAATTCAGAGGTTTGTGACAATTTTTTATCTATTGATATTTTCTCTTTTTATCTTTTGAGCAATAAAAACTAAGTGACTTCTTTAGTTTACTTTATTTGTTTATTGAGTTTTAAAATAAATGTGAATACAATGACATTGTTTTTCTTGTTAAGGAGGACGCAGATCGAGATGGGAGAGGGGTTCTGGCTAAAAACTTCTTTGGCGGAGTTTGGGGTAACAGGCCACCCCTTATGGAAAAGAATCAGCTTAAAAAATCCTGTACTTGTAGTAAGTATGCTTTTATTAATTTAATTGTTTATATCAGTTTGAGAGTAAATTCTCTAAGGTTTTTTGAGGTTATATCAATGTTAGGTCAATAAATTTAGAGTTAGGTATAATTTATATAAGAATTTTATTGTTTTATATGTACCAAAACCTTTGCCTTTCAAAGGTTGTTTGGTAAACAAGGCAACATCTAATTGGATTTGTATTTTAAGACCAACCAAGTAAAGTCGAAAATTGTGTGACACGATTTTAATTCTTTTCCAATTAAGCTTAGCATTTGGCATTAAAACCTTAGGTCACCTTTGTATGCAAGCTCTTTGTAATATATTTTTTTTTATTTTATTATCAAAAAGGAATAAAATAAAACTGGATATTAGTCGAAAAAAAATCACTGGTACGCACGGGTACCGCTCTTGATGTGCGACCCGTCTGAAAACCTGCTTAAAACGGCGTCACGGTACATTTTGTACATAAATCAAATAATAATAACATCTATTGGCCTTATTTTTATAGACTCTGATAGATGCCGTACTCAACTATTTTAGATTTATTACTTAAGGTGAGTTTCCACTGCAGATAAACATGCTAAAAAACAATGTAACATGTTTACTACCGGACGACAGTGGAAATTCATTGTTTTACATTTTTGTCTCAATTTTGTTATCTAGGTAATCCTTGTTAGGATAATGGCTTATATTGTAATGAAAATAATCATAGTGTCAAATTTCAGACCAATGTAAATTTTGTCATACGTGTAAAATTATGTCTAAAAGTGCGTCCAAGATACTACTGTGTGTAAAGACAAATCTAACAAAAGCACTAAAAGTACTTAAAGAAATATTTTATAAGAAAAAGTTTCGACAACTTAGAACAAAAAACGTAATATGTTTTTAACTGTTCTCACTACTTAACAGGTGTACCGTTTGTTCTCGTTTTGTACGTGAATAATTTAAACGGTTATATTGAATTTTAATTGGTAATGGTTTCACGGGTGTTTGACTTGCAATTGATAGCGTTTAAGTATTAGATGTAAGAAATTTCGGATCCTGAATGTTTTTTTTTATAACATAAGATGGCTAATGAGCAAGCTGCCACCTGAATCCGCCAAAATGGTGAAGCGACCGCTGCCCATAGACATCCGGAATTGCAGATGCGTTGCCTACTCTTATCCGACAGAGGAGGAGACGCACACGAAGAGGATATTTCCTCTTCCTATGCATCTCCTCCACCGTCAAATCCACTTCCCCTTCCCATCCTTTCTTAAGACATGGGTAGTAAAGACAAAGGGACCTCAATTAGGCCTCCGACATCACACTCATCAGACGAAACAGGGAATTGCTTTCATTTCACGCCTATCTTCTGTGGGCACTACCACTGTTAAATTTTAATCTTAATGTTTAAGAAAGCATAGAGGCATGATGTCAATATAGGTAATTTAACTGTTTCGGTTACCGAAACACATTTATAAGACATATTTGTATTTTTTACTAATATTATTAATGTGACAATTTTGATGGATTGTTGGATATATGTTAGAGGGTATCTTAGGAACGGCTCAAAGGATCTCGCAGAAATTTGTCAGAGATGTAGAACATAGTTGGGAAGAACATAAAGATTATTAATTGTTGTTTTTTTTTTAATTTCGCGCAAACGGTATCGCGGGCAGCTAGTTATATATTGTGGTTACTGATGGTTTAATTAAAAAATGAATTAGTTTATTTTTAAGTATCGATAAATCTTGTCGAATTGTCTGTCAGATTTTTATGATCGGTATTTAACATTGCAACGTGACTTGTATACTGTTTATTTAGAAAGGCGTAAAGATTTTAGCACGGAGCTAAAATTGTTGATGTTCTGTTAAATGCTGTGCAAATAATGTATTAACATAAA